AACGAGCGGCCCGGCCTGCCCGGGCTCTGCCGGCCTCCCGCAGCCCCTCCGGTCCTACAGGGAGACGATCGACTGCAGGTACCGCTGTGGGGAGTGTGGTAAAGCCTCCCTGCGGCTCTGCCGCCTCAAAGCACCGCTTTGTCCGTTCTGACCGCAAACCTTTCTTGTGCATGTAGTGTGGCAAGAGCTGTAGTTCAGAGGAGAGCTTCAAAGCCCACATGTTGGCCTGCCAGGGTGTGCGTCCGTTCCAGTGACAAGGCTTACTGCACCAAACGAGACTTGCAGGAGCACCAGGTCCTGCACACCGGCCCCTTGTCCTGCAAGCAGTGCTGCAAGGCCTTTGCATGCTGGACCTCTCTCCACATGCACAGGAACATTCCTTTGGCCATTGGGACTGGCCCGGCTGGTCCCAAGGGATGCTAGCGTGCCATATGTAGATGCCACCTGGTGAGCCCCAGCTCCTTGCACAACTACATTTGTCTGCACATGGGGGAGCACTCTTACCCTGTCCTTACTGTGGCAAATACTTCCGACAGCAGAGCAACCTGCACGAGCACCTGTGGCAGCACAGGGGCTAGCAGCCCCACAAGTGCCACTTCTGTGGCAATGCCTTTCCCAAGCTGCCAGAGCTGCGGCAGCATCTCATCTCCCACGCAGGTGAGGCCCAGCTGTGCACCATGTGCAGCCAGGCACTGCAGGACCTCACATGCTGCGTGCCCACGAGCGCTTGCACACAGACAAGAAGCGTGGCAAGTCCTACCCCTTGGCCACGAAGCTGCGGTGCCATCAGAAATCCCACCTGGCTGGTAATCCCTACAAATACGAGCACTGTGGCATGGACTACACCTTTCCCCAGAGCCTTGTGCACCATGTGCTCACCCACAAGGTGGGAAAGGACTCTGAGGAGCTCAGCACTGCGGTGGCCTCACTTGCTGTGGACCTACCCCAGGCAGCAAGAAAGAATGCTCAGAGGAAGTGGCAGCAGGAGGAGGTTGCAGTGGAGCCTGCCTTGCTCATGGTGGAGATGCCAAGGCCAAAAAGTGAGGCTGAGCTGCTGATCACAGGCAGGGGTCACTGCATTGCTATTTACCATTCTCAAGGCAGCCCCCCAGATCCTGGGGCATGCAGGACAAAGGCTGTGTGTCGTGTGGCAAAGGACATAGTGGAAATGGCCCTCTCCAAGCTTGAGGACAAATGCAGGATGGGGGCTCACAGAGTGATCTGATCATCATCCCGGAGGAGGTGGGCTTAGAAGCAGTGGCAGATGTGGTGGAGGTTGACACTGGGAGCTGACTATCCCGGCTTGCCCTGGCTGATCTTCCTCTGTACTTTCTAAAATGAGCTAAAAGAAATGTCAAAAAAAACTAGCTCTCTTGTCTCTCTGTTAGCAGCAAGGCCCAGTGGCTCAACCCCAGGCAGAATTAGCTGTCTTGGAGGTAACTGTCGGTATAAACATGGGTCTTTTCAGTAGCCACTCCTTGAAGCTATGAGCCTATACATGCCACGTGCCATGCCTGGTGGCAGGGAAGGCATGGACTATTGATTGGAATAACTTCTTTAGAAGACACCTACTGTTAATGAGCAGTGCTTCCTCTGCCTCTGTTATGCTATCAGTGGGTGGCAGTGTGCTGTGAGGAAGGCAGGAAAAGCCTCAAAGCGGTGACTTTGAACAGTGCCTTCTTGTCGAGTGTTTTTAATTGCTGTTCAGGCTCTTTGCCGAGCTTGTATTCTCGGAGCTCAGCAGCACTTCTGATCATCTGAAGGTGATGCTCATGCCAGACATTACTGGTAGGCAGCTTTCCAAGTGTTCACAAGGTATCATCTAATATGATGAGCATTTTTCACAAATAGCAGAAGCAAAGTCCTACCTTGGAACCAGGGCAGAGTGTTTCTTAACCACTGTCACCTGGTTTGGTTGCTCTCAGCTTCCTGGCCTTACAGTGACCAACCAGCCTGTCTGAGGGCATGAAAGGATAGTTTCATGTCTCACTGTGCAAATAGCATTGTACAGTGCAGTTTTCACTGTCCCTGGCTGAAAGTCTCCTCATCTCTCTATGTAAGGGTTGAAAAGTTCATCTTTGCTCAGATTTTCCATTTTCTCTGCACATTCGAGTTGGGTTCATTAACCCTTTTCTGTTTTCTTTTCCTCACATTCTTGTTTCCTCTCTTCTACTTCTTTCTTGCTTCTGCACCAAAAAGCTAAAAGACAGCATCACCACAACTACACCCCAATATTCCCTCTGCCCCCTCTTCTTCAGTGCCTGTTTGCCAACTAAGGCATGCTGATGGAAATTGGTCCTGTTTCAGGACGGAAGTACACAATTCTCAATGCCATGTGAACTTGGCCTCATGGGAAGACACTGACAGTAGCAGACCTAACAGAGCTCTTTCAGACTTACCTGCTCTGCACTCTCTTTTCACATGTTATACAAACACCACTTTCATTTGCTACATCCTCAGTTTTAGCTATTCTTGCTCTCTGTCATTTTTTTTTGTTTAGTTTTGTTTAGAGATTTTTAATTCCCTGGGCTTCTTATACCCACTGCACGAGAGAAAAGTATAGTGTCACCAGGGAATCACCAGTAGCATAGTTCCCTTTCAGGGTGCTATGAATGCAGTAGTGCTCTTAAAAAACACTCTTTGTGGTTTCTACACAAAACCTTTTCCATAAACTTTTATGACTGGTTTGCAGACAAGGTGCTGGAGTCAGATCCATGTCATTTTGATGTGAAGTGAGGATGGAAGGTGAACTCAGCTGACAGACATTTGGTTGTCCTTGGTTTTAAGTATTTTCTTTTAAAGTCAGGGAACACATGAGCTCAGTCATTGCCCTGAGTGCTTGGAGCACAGGTGGATTAGGGGCACTCGTATTAGAAGCCTCAGTGCCTCCTACTGCTCTCCCTTTGGTGCATATCCAAACTCAAATATTGACACAGCTGCAGAGTGTTGTCACTGGAACTGGGCTCTGCTGCTGTGTTTGAAGCATGTGTCCTCTGTCACAGCAGAACTGGGAGAGAAGGGGGAGCAATGAGGAGAAGAAAAGGGGAGAACCCAGATCCCTATTGCTTGAACTGCTGACCTGCTTCTTTATTCTGAGGTAACAGGAAAGAAAGTAAGGCAGTTATGAATTGGAAGGTCTTCATGGAAACACTGTTCACCTTCCTGTTGATCTGAGTAGGTGGGAACAGGTCTGTGCTGCCCTGCACGTTTCATTTAGCTGCAAGATAAACTTATCTGGCTAATCCTGACTGAGGAGCCCATGGGTGATTCCCATGGGGCACCTGATGATGATGCCACCATTGTGTCTTTGTCTTTATCTTAGGAACAGCATGTTCTTATATCTACAACCATTTGCTCGACAGTAAAATGGTTAATAAAGTTGTTTGCTCCTAATAAAATCATACAAAAGTCCTGAAGACCATGATGCTGTTGAACCTCAACATGGATGACATCTGTGCAGCATGCAATGGCCTGACTAGATGCTGTATAGCTTGGTGTTTGCAGCATTTGCAGGAGTGTAGGATTATCTAATGCCATACCCTTCCTTCTATTATGTCCAACAAATGGTATTTTAATTATCACATTGTGAGCTCTGAGTGCCTTTCTTACTGGGCTCTATAACAAACCCTAGCACCAGTGCATTATGTGTGATATAGTTGACAGGATCCTGGTGAGAAATGCCTTACTGGAAGAAGAATAGCAATGAAAAAGATGAGTGCCTGCCTGGTCCCATACTCTGGCATGGGGAACAGTCACACAGTATGCTGCCTTATAATGCTGATGATCATTATGCTTTGGGGCAGTGTGGCAATGAAGCACAGACTCCATCCCTGTTCACACACAACGACCTTTATTTGCTCTACCAGCTAGCTTTTATACAGCTCCCTGGTACTTTTACATCACCCAGCCTTCTGCTGCCCATAATTCCTCTTTCTTATCTCCTCGTTTGCATAATATCTACAGTCCTCAGCAACAGTCATCAAATTTCTTCTCTGCATCCTCTTTCCAGGTGCGGTTTGCACCTCCTGCTCCCATGGTTTCTTGCTGACAAGCAAGCACATCATGGCACTCGTCCAGTGACTCAGGGTCTACTCCCACAGGGCAGCAGACACATGGATCATCTGGCTGGCTGGAGATCTTGTGCACCCATTACCCCCACGGGTTCAGATGGCAAGCACACAGCTGTCCTGGCTAGTGGGGTCCACCATGCTGGCAGAGCTTCACCAAGGCTTTGGGATGCTGCTGCAACACTCCAGGGTGACAAGTGCACAGGTGTGTCAGATGATTTGGGTCCTTCATGCCGGCCTTACCAGATATCAGGCATGCACATAAACTTAACTGTTAATTAAGCTGAAGGTTATCATAAAGAGGAGTCAGAGAGAGATACAGGAATGAAAGAAAAAAAGTGAGAATATTGGAAGCTGTTTGTGCCTCCTCCCACTGCAAGGAGTGGCAGTGGCTACTGCGTGGGACACAGCGGCACCTCTGATTTCACCACTCTTCCAAGACCTGTTTGTGCTCTGACACCACCTTCCTCTCCCTGCCTGTGCTCTCCACCTAAATGCTGCCTCAAAGTAACATGGGGTTTTCCTAGGGTTGTGCTAATCCCATGCACACACTCCTCCACATTCCGCACATCTCCACCCAGGGATCCCAGCCATTCCTAAAGGTGCCTCTTCAAAATCCAGGGGAGGTGTGTGGGGGTGAGAACAGCCAATACTCTCATATGAGGGAGGGAGCCTCTGCAACTGCTCTTTGTACCAGTGGCTGCAGAGTCATTCCTCAGCCACCCTAATGCTAATATTTGCACTCCTTCTATGGAGATAAACATTACAGATGTATCTGCTGCACAGCGGCACAGCACTAATCATGCTCCCTGCTGGCAGAAAGCACTTCCATGCCATGTGGCTGTTCCTGAGACTACCCCGACCCTGCCTTGCTTTCTGCTTTTACTCTGCCAGTGTTCTGCTTGCTGTATGAATCATCAGAGCTTTCCCGGCACTGGTAGCCCAGTTTTTGACGTCATGACATCCAGACCATACCTGCCTCCCTGTTTGTGGAAACCCATTGTTTTCCTTGGTGTTTTTTGGTGTGCTGGCTCCTTGCTCATCTTGGATGTCTTGCTTTTTTCTTGCTTCGACGCTTGTCTTGCTCTTCTTCTGTTTCATTTTGGATGTATTTGAGTGTATTGCACTTGGGAGGAATAAAAGGGGGAGCCCAAACTTCATGCCCCTTCATCCTCTACTCAGCTGGGAATTGTAAGGCAGTGGGAAGTATGCACTGCCAATGACATTGCTGACCTAAGTGGGAGAAAAATTTAAATTCCAAGTGGGGTTTGAAGGCATCCCTTCTGCTCCTTGGCATGGGTGAGGGAGAAGGGGGAGACTTAAACTGTGTATTCTGGTGCCAAAATAGCTGGGACTGAGCTTGCTGATAACTGCAGTGAGAAAACTGGATTTTAGAGAGAAGCAATGGGGCTTGCAACTTAGAAGGACCAGGAATGGCTAAGGAGCTCTCAAAGTCTTGCTGTGTACAAGGCCACTAGAGTACAGCCTCTGAGAAGAGTCAGCGGCAGGGACCCAAGCCAGCATGCCAAGAGCTGCATGAGAGCAAGGGGAGGGAAAAGGAGCAAGCTGCTCTGGCTGGGGTGGCTGTGAGCTGGCAGAGGCCTCTCCATGCCAGCCTGAGTTCTCCCTGTGCCCTGAGACAAGCTTGTCATAGAATCATCAAGGATGGAATAGGCCTTTAAAACCATGAAGTCTAACCATTCACCTACCACTACCACTGGAACCCCTGAACGACCCAGACCCAGATCCAGACATCTCTTAGACACTTCCAGGGATGGTGATTCCACCACCTCCCTGGGCAACCTATTTCAATGCCTGACCATCCTAACAGTGAAATTTTTTTCTTAATATCCAATCTGAATCACCCCTCTCTTCTCAGCTTAAGGCCATTTCCTCTAGTCCTCTCACTGTGGGCATGGCAAGCCCCTGCCTCCCTACCACCTCCTTTCAGGTAGTTGTAGAGAGCAATGAGGTCACCTCTGGGCCTTTTCTCGAGACTGAGCAATACCAACTCCCTCAGCCATTCCTCATCAGAAATGTTTTCTAGACCTTTTAGGAGCCTTCTTGCCCTTTACTTTTCCTCTCGTTTCTCATGACATCTTCCCAGTTATGAAATGAGATGTTAATTAAGCAAGAAAATGAAGGTGCTCTGAAGAGAGGGAGAGATGCCAAGAGGGGAGGGATAAAAGGAGACTCAGTCCCACTGTCCCTGACACACCATGACCTCTGGGGTCTTGTTACTTCATTCTGGTTCAATATTAACCCAGTGTGGCTGTGACTCCACTTATTCTGCTTCCTTTGCAATTCCCCTGCAGCCAGGGCTGTACAGCATGGCGCACACCAAAACCAGCATACTGAGGGGCCTGCTCTTCTCCAGCCTCCTGCAGCTCACGCTGAGCCATGCCGGAGGTAAGACTCAATGGCAGAGGGAAAGGGACAGTGCCAGTGGGCAACAGGACGAAGACAGATGGGGTTATTTCTTTCCAGGGTTAAAGCAGGTGGCAGGTTTTCTTGGTAAGTCAGGAGGACCTGCTAAAATCTTGCAGCTGGGAGCAAAAGGGTGCTGAGAGTGGAGTGAGCATAGGAGGATGCAGTAGCATCTGTCAGCTGGTGAAAACAGCTCAATGGATTTTGTGAGTCACCTGGGAAATGGTGGGGAAGGGGAATGTGGCTCAGTCCAGGATCATATGTAACATATCTGTGGGACTTTCGGGGATAGTGCTCCTCAGCTGACCTGGGTGGCTTCAATTCTCCACCGACTCCCCAGCTGTCCCTTATCTAAACCTTAGGCCGTATGGAGTGTGCCACCTTCCTGCTCACTGCTTCTTTTATCAGAGCCTCTAATTCACCGGTCTTTTCTTAATATGATTAGGTCCCTCTAACCTACTACTGTGTGGGGGAAGACCTGTCTACAGGTCTCAAATCAGGGTTTCTGAACATGAAAGTGGAACCAAACCATGCATATTGCAGTGGTCTGAGGCTGGCAAGACATAAATTTAGTGCAGGGACAGTAGCAGGCTCAAAGCAATTAAGCCTCTACCTAACAGGTAAATATAATGCAGGGACAGTAGCAGGTTCAAAGCAATTAAGCCTCTACCTAACAGCAAATGGGCAGAGCAGCTTTGCTGAGGAAGCAGAGGATTCCTGTCACTTCTGTTACCTAAGTGATGTGAGCCCTGACAGGATGAATTCCAGAGAGCCCTCTCTCATAATCAGGTGTAGACCTGACAGGGCTTCTCCTCTCTGTATGGTGCACTGGGGTAGGCTGGGCTGTGGGATCACCACATCAGCTGCATGAGGTTTTTGGAAATGGCAAGAGGACACAAAGGGGCCTCCGGCTGCGAGCACCCCTTTGACTGGCAGTGTTCTGACCCTGTAGTTTTCCTGGAAAAGGGGCAGGCATTGTCACTGCTCAAGCGCCCACGACGTGCCAACAAGGGATTTCTAGAAGAGATGCTTAAAGGAAACCTGGAGCGAGAGTGCCTGGAGGAGACATGCAATTATGAGGAGGCTTTTGAAGCCCTCGAATCCGTCGATCAGACGGTATGTACAGATACTCCTGGGAAACATTCCCTCAACCAACCTCTGTAGTGAGAGACCAGCAGGTTGCACAAACAGCCAGGGATCAGTGTTGTTGTACTCAATTCTGTGAACCAAAGATGAGAGTGATGTGTGTGTGCTCCAGGGAGAGCTCAGGCTTTATTAGGGAGTTTCCCTCCTGGAGACACTCCAGGAAATGCAGCTCAAAGCTCAGGTTCTTTTCCCTCCCTCTCTATTTCACTCATGAAGTGAAAAGGAGAGAGTCTTCCCATCGGTTCTGAATTGCTTCTTCCACTAGCTCAGCGTGGTGCTGCCCACGACTTCCAGACACTCACAAAAGAGCTGGCTTAGCAGCCAAATGCTGAATGCAGGTGCCTCAAGCTCGTTTGAGCTGAAGCTTTTGCACACCCTTTTTCTGGTTTCCAACTCCCTCACTCTGCTAAATTTGTCCTGCATCCTTTTGGGAGTTTGCTCCTAGGTGTCCATGTGAATTCCACACCAAAGAATACGGCAGATAAACAGTTAGGAGCCTCAGCCAGCAAGACACCACCTCAGTGGAGATTGCTTTAGAAGTACTCTGTGGAGTACATCTAAAGCAATCACCTCCTGGCTGCACAACAGAGATGTAGATCGAAAGAGCTAAGCAATACCTACATGTGATCTGTGGCCTTTGAAGCTGTAAGTTCAGCTGCTTGGATGTCTGTACTGTCGCCCAGGCTCTGCTTTCTCTGCAGGTTGATGAAGGTTGTAAGCATCTTTGGTCTCTTTAGAAACAACTCAGATTCCTGGGTCTGATGTATTGGAATGTGGGTTTATATCTGATTTTTTTAAATTTGTTGGACTCCGTAGTAATTGGTATCAACAGAACTAGATTAGTCTGTTCCTTTTGTTGTGGTGGGGCATTCTCTGGTCTGATTCGCAGCAGCCAAGAAAGGTCTGATATTCTGTGTCTCTACTATTAAACTTTTTTTTTTTTTTACAGGACATATTTTGGTCAAAGTACCAAGGTAAGTTGTTTCAAGTCCTGCAGGCACTTTGCTATCCCTTAGGATGCATTGTGTCATCCTGGATAGTTCCCTCTTACTAGAGCTCAGTTTCCAGGGCATAGCACTTGTGCTTTGTCCCTAGATGACAAACTGGTGCAAATTATGATGCTTATTTGGATTCCTTTCATATAATGTATTTCTTTCTTCTTATTTTGCTAGTATGTCAGGGCATGAGAACGTCCAGGACAGCTCTGGATGCTTGTCTAGAAGGTATGAAATTCATGCAGACCTCAGTCTTCCAGATACAGTGAGTGCCAGAAACTTCCTTCCTGTAGAGCTTGTAAGGAAAAAAATTCCAGAATTGGAAAAGCCATCCAGTTAGAAAGAAAACTATCAGGAGAGGAGTTTAAAATTCTTTTTGTCCTCTTTAGTTCCCTAATTGTTTCACAAACAGCCTGACTCTCCTACTGAAACTGCATGGCATAGACATCCTTCTCCTTGTGACACCTTGTGCTTCTGAGCAGCTTCTCAAAAGGGCTCTGAGCCAGAGCAAAGCACGGAGCGCCTCGGGGAGAGGGTCTGTGGTGAGACAGAGAGAGCTTTGCCTGTGTGTTCTCACCCCATGAAGAGGATACCTGTGCTTGTGCAGGCTCATTCATACAGCAAAAGTTAAAGGCATATGTGGAATGGTACCTCTGATCCTGAAAATTGCAACGACCAGTTCCACTGGCCCTGGCTTACACCATGTTGGGATTTTGACAGGTAACTGCTCTCTTGGACTGGGCCACAACTATCGGGGAACAATTAGCTACACCAAATCAGGGATTGAATGTCAAGTGTGGACAAGCAAATATCCTCATATTCCTAAGTAAGTTCATCTCCCACATACCCCTAAGGCATTCTCCAGTGCATCCTTCCTTCTTACCCTAACCAGCTTTTTTCCCATAGATTTAATGCCACCATTTATCCCAGCCTTACTGAGAACTACTGCAGGAACCCAGACAACTCAGCAGGACCATGGTGCTACACCCGAGACCCAACGGTGGAACGGGAGGAGTGTCCCATCCCAGTGTGTGGTATGCCTCAGCACTATGCTCCAGCAAGCCCTTCACTTGCAGCAAGCACTGCATTGACACATACTAAATCAGCCAAGGAAGGGGAGAGGGTTAGCAGGGAGAGAGCTTACATGAACAGAGGTCAGTAGGAGTAGAGAAGCTGCATCTTAAAGGGTAAAGGAGCTGAGGAGTGAAAGTCATTGAGTTGCCTATACATCTACTTTGGCTAAATTCCGCTAATGTGCTGTTTTCTCTAGATTGTGCTAATCTAGATCTAAATTAAATCCAGTGTCAGCAGTCCCCTGGAATCTAGTACAGTTTTTTCTGGCCAGAGCTACCTCAAAATCCTGGCACATAGCCTCTGATTTGTGACAGTCATGAATCCTAGTGGTTTTCTGGTCTGAATTCCCATCTTTAGGACAGGATAACTACAGGTTGTGCTTGACTGTCTGCCTTAATGCTCACTCCTGTGGAGAGGTGCAGGTTAATACCACAATCTCAAGAAAAGGGAAGATGCCTTTCTCTCATCATTGCACTTGACCGGATGAAGAACCATCCCCCTCCACTTACACCTTCCCATTTCTCCCCAATACAGAGCGGTCTCCCCTGGGAGTTGGCCTCTGTCTCAGGACTGTTAGAAAGCAGAGAACCTTCCCACAGCAGAAGTTTCTCTTCCGAAACCAGAGACTAGAGGCAGCAACTCTTGTAATTTAAGTCAGAGAGGTCAGCAACCATTTCAACTGTGGGGTGTTCTGAAGTTTTAAAAGCCATTACCATTGCTCTAGTCTGGAGTAGGACAAAATGTAAAGAGATATTACTCTGCTTTGAGACAATCAGGCATCTGTATTATCTCTGTTCACCAGTTAGTTTCTGACCTACCATAGCTTACATGTGCATGGATATGGCAGACCAGAAAAGCTTGGTTTTGTGTACAGTTCTTTTGCAATCATTTTGATATGAATACATCAAACAGAAGCAGCCTCACCAATTAAGGTGTATGGTACTTACTCGGTGGCTGTTGTGCACTAGAGTGAATAGTCAAACAGTCTCTCTTCACAGGGACCACACTGCACAACGCGAAAACAGCTTGAGGCCAAGCAACTGCCACAGAACAGATTATTTGGTGCCCACTTCCTCAGGAAATGCTGCTTAAAGCTTGCAGCCATTAGGACACTTGCAAGAAAAAGTGCGGAAAGTCTAACAGAAAAATTTTTATCTTATCATTAGATATAGAAATATTGGCAAAAGTTAAATTTGCCACTTTAGTAGCATATCATGGTAAAAGGCTCCCCCAAATATGGCCTAGTTACACATTTAAGAAAAAGGTGTTGGAGGCCGTAATACAGCAGCATTATGATGCCTGAGGCACCTACCCATCCTTTGAGGTGGTTCTCAGGTACCTCAGAAAGTAACACAATACTGTCCCTCACATCTTAGTGGCAAAGAGAAGTGTGATGAGTAGTGCCAACCTCACCTTACCTCTTGTTGAAAGAACCACCTCTGACACTGCAGTATTTTAGAGGGCCACCACATGCATCGGAGCACAGCAGGAGCTCCCAAGTGATGGGATGCCCCATGGAACTCTAGGCTTTAGTAAAGGGGTTACTAACACTGCTAAGCTATGGCTTAAATCACAGCTCTCTGTCTTTCCAGGTGAAGAAAGGACAACAGTTCCATTTACTCCATATGTCAAACCACCTGCCTCAGAGGAGCCTTGTGAACAAGAGAAAGGCATGCTGTACACAGGGACCCTCTCAGTCACTATCTCTGGAGCCCAGTGTCTGCCATGGAACTCTGAAAAAGCCAAAGAAGTGCTCCACGGAAAAAACATTGACCCAGAGGTGAAGCTGCTGGAGAATTACTGTCGGAATCCAGACGGAGATGATGAGGGTGTCTGGTGTGTCACAGATAGACCACCCTACTTTGAATATTGTGATCTGCACTACTGTGGTGAGAAATCTGCATAGGTTTGGGTGGGCACACTTGTGAGGCGGTGGCAAACAAAACCAGTATGTGCTACCTGGGTGAAGTACTTGGCCTGGGAGGAACAGATAAAGAAGTACATGTTCCATGCACATGGGAGTCCTGTTCGTCCAAATGTCACATGTACTAACCTGCCTTATATGCATAGGGCTGTTACATCTCTGAGGTGTTCTTTTCTACCTGAAGAACGGTGGACAAGGAGCATTAAGAGAGCAGTGGTTTTAAACATCATTCCTTTATCAGATGCCCTGTATGTGGAAAGGAACATTTACATTGCTAATAATCATGGGAAGCACAGCTAACCCTTTTACCACATTTGTCTCTCTCAGATAGCTTGCTAGAGGATGAGGATGAACAGGCAACAGGAATATCAGGACGTTCTACTGCTCCTCAAGAGTTCAAAACCTTCTTTGATGAGAAAACTTTTGGTTCAGGCGAAGCAGGTGAGCAGAAACTCTACACAGCATCACAGTTTGTAAAAAGGCTGTAGCTTCTTCCCACTGGGCACTCACTGCTCCTCAGACACATCAGCTAGCCAAATGATGTTAAAAACAGGGAAAGATAGTTAAATTCCTGAAAGAACTCTCAGAAGTCAATATTCAATTACAATCATGGAGCTAGTAAGCACATCCTTCCTAGGATGGTCCAGCTTAGCATGCTGACTGCAGACAACAGTTCTTCACTGTGAATCAGAGTAGCAAAGCCAATTGCCTGTTTTGTTTTCAGACTGTGGCACTCGTCCTTTATTTGAGAAGAAAAAGGTAACAGACAAAAGTGAGAAGGAGCTGTTGGACTCCTACATGGAAGCCAGAGTTGTCCATGGAGATGATGCAGAAGAGGGCAGCTCCCCCTGGTAAGTATTGTCTTTGCATAATTCTTCATTGGGAATTGTGTCTTTCTTCTCTTCAGCTCAAGCAGGTAGAAATAAAAGGGCTTTCCCATTTTGAGCACCATGCATGCACTATGGACTCTAATCAAAGCTTCTACAAGTGGTTGGCAGGGCAGTACTGAAATAGCTGGAAAGAAACTCACTTCTTGAGCCAAGTATGCAACCAGGTGGGAAAGGAAGTGTGTTGGTGTGTTTCACGTTTGACTCTTACTTCCCAGCTTTGCTAGAGCAGAAAGGATGAGAAACCTCTCCAGGTGAAGGAAATAGAGTAAATGGCCTACTACATAGAATATACATGTCCAGGGAAGACTTTTACTACAGAGCCACTTAGGCAATTACCTTTGTCAGTACAGTTCAATGCTCTTCCCTGCACACCACAAATTCTACACTTTCTGCATAACACCGTTCAGCCAGCCACACCTGCTAAGTTTTCCTCCTTCCTCATCTCTCAGGCAAGTGATGCTCTACAAAAAGATTCCTCAGGAGCTGCTGTGTGGTGCCAGCCTCATCAGTGACAGCTGGATCCTGACTGCTGCTCATTGTATTTATTATCCACCCTGGGACAAAAACTTAACTACAAATGACATCTTGGTGCGGATTGGCAAGCACGTAAGGACAAAGTAAGAGTCTGGATGAAGTGAGAGTGAACTAGCTTTCCTCTTGGAGCGATGAGATACAGTGAAGTTTTTGGCTGTCATTCAGTATTGAAGGAAATGTCATAACTAATGTCACATGCCTCTCACTAATATGATCTAACTGGACTGTCAGTTGCTGCTCTTTCTGATCCTAAAGTGAAAGGGAGGGCAGAAGCATGGGAAGTCTAAAGGGGTGTCCAATGTTAAGAGCATTGGCTCAGAGAGTATAAAGCACCTGAGAGTATCATGAACCCCTGCAGACTCTCAGGTGTTACTGTATTGTGAATGCTTTTCTTCATAACTATTTCAGGTATGAAAAGAATAAAGAGAAGATTGCTCTATTGGATAAAATCATTGTCCATCCTAAGTACAACTGGAAGGAGAACATGGACCGAGACATTGCACTCATGCACTTAAAGAGACCCATCATCTTTAGTGACTACATCCATCCTGTCTGCCTGCCTACCAAAGAGGTCGTGCAGAGGTGGGGAGATTGTCCCACAGTCCTAGAAATACAGGCTACAAAAGCCTCCTTTGGGTCTTAAAAGGAAAAAAAAGAAAAGGATGACTTATTGCAGCAAGAGGGCCAGGCAGGAGAAAGCTGTTACAATAGATTTGATTACACTCATGCTTCCTTCCACAGGCTGATGCTGGCAGGTTACAAAGGGCGAGTAACTGGCTGGGGAAACTTGAAAGAAACATGGGCCACTACCCCTGGCAACTTGCCCAGAGTTCTGCAACAGCTTAATCTGCCCATTGTAGAGCAAAGTGTCTGCAAGGCATCCACCAAAATTAAAGTCACTGACAACATGTTTTGTGCAGGTAAGTAGCACTGGAGACACAGGGACAACTTGTCACAGAACCTGAGGGCTCTGAGAAAGGTTACTTTCTGATAAATTTGCAAGTGCCCTCCATAAAGAATAACTTCCCTATGGTAAGAGCTTTTTCAGCTCGCAGAGAACATGAAGGCTGGAGAACTTAAAGCGATGAATAAAGTTTGTAACACTAACCTGTGTCAGGCCAGCTAGTCTAATGGCACCAGGTAGAACAGCAATTTTGGGAAAACTAAGCACATATAAAATTATCTTTTCATCAGTACATAGAACAACAGTTCAGTGACTTCCTCAGTTAAAGGCTGCACATCCATTATCCTCTCTACTAGTTTGTCTTAATCTTTTGGAGCCAATTCATACTTATGCCCACAAATTCTGTGGCAACAGGCTCCCACTTTCCAAAATCTCTTCTGGCACTATACTCTTTTTGAGAGAAGGGGACACAACTCAAGATACCAAGAGAGTATAGATTTATTACAGATTTAATAGTTCCTGCTGTATTATTAATTTGTACAGACAAGCCAATCTCCAGTCATTTTTTACCAAGTTTGTGCTGCTTGCAGCTAAGTGAATGTGACTGCTTGAGTTGGGATGGAAGCAGATTTCAAGAGTGTGCTGAAGATAGAGTTCTTATGGTTTTTCTAGACAACATTCTTGAAAAATAGCTGAGATGCAGACATACAGGAAAAAAAGGGAGACAGGTGATGGGAAAATTTAAAAATACCACCTAGTTCATCAGGAATAAAAGTGAAATCCTTTTCTTCTTCAGAGTGAGACCTTAGGAAGACAGACAGTTGCGAGAGAAAGAGCAGAGCTTGCAGAGTGACAGGAAGGTGAAAGTGAGAACAGCAATGTATTTCTATGATAAGTAGAATGAAAGAACAGGGAACATGGAATATTACACACAAGTTTCTAAGAAAAGAGATATCAAGCTACAGCTGTTGAACAATGGCAATTGACACTTAACAGCAGTTCTGATGAAAAACAGGAAGGAGAGCGCAGAGAGTGGATCCAAGAATGTTGCAAAGACAGAAGCAAGTTTAGCTGATTTACATATACATTTAGAAAACTGCTTTGGGTTTTTATATTACATCCAAGAGTTGGCAGAAGCAGTAAACAATCTCACGGGTCTCAGAAAATTTGTGCAGCAATACTTAGAGGAAGGGATGGCCAATGCCAGCCACTTCCCCTACAGTCAAATGTCCAACCTTTTTCTTGCCTATAGGTTACAGTCCTGACGACACAAAGAGAGGAGATGCCTGTGAAGGGGACAGTGGGGGACCTTTTGTAATGAAGGTATGTTCAACAAGCTCAAGCTCATAAAACATATGGAGCTAGATTTGTGCTATGCTGAACTCTCACAATAGTCTAAAACAGCAGCAGAGGTGGAGACTGCCAAGTGGCTTAAGCAAACCCAGCTCATGTCCAGACTGAGCAACAGAGATGAATCCTGCAGTCATCCAGCCTCATTTCTGTACTCTCAGCATACATGGAGAGCAGCTGCAGAATGCATGAGTGATGGCTAGTTCTTACTTAGGGGTTTAAGAGTAGAGACAAAATGACTACAACAAGCTCCGTTATCTCGGAGATGCCAGTCTGAATCCCAAAGCAATATCCATCACTGAACAGGCTGGGGCACGTACAAGGTTTAGATTTGAAAGAGCAACAAAACTGCTAAAGGAGCTAGAGCACAAATCTTATAAGGCATGGTTCAGGGAGCTCGGGTCATTTAGCCTAGAGAAAAGGGGGCTGAGAGGATACATTATCACTAAAAGGAGGGTATAGCAAGGTGGAGGGGTCAGCCTCTTCTCCCAGGCGACCAGCAGTAGGACAAGAGAACATAGCCTCAAGCTGTGCCAGGGGAGGTTCAAGGCTGGACAGCGGAGGGAATTTCTTCACTGAAAGGATGTTAAACATTAGAATGGGCTGCCCAGGGAAGTGGTGGCACCACCATCTCTGTGACTGTCCAAGAAATAACCAGACATGGCACTTAGCGCTAAGTTGACAAGGTGGTGTTCAATCAGAGGCCTTTTCCATCCTTAATAATTCTATCAAAGTGTTTTGCTCCTTGTGCCAATCCCACTTTTTCTTTGTATTAGAACCCAGACAACAGCCGTTGGTATCAAGTGGGAATAGTATCATGGGGAGAAGGCTGTGACCGAGATGGCAAGTATGGATTTTACACCCACGTATTCCGCCTGAAAAAGTGGATACAAAAAACCATTGCAAAATATGGACAATAGATGAAGCATTTATCTTGCTTGCTCAGTTTTGCTACAATATTCCACTTCTTATAAGCATAAGCACAGAAGATCCTGAAGTTACACACTTAAAAATTGACAAAGGAAAGTATTATCCCTTGAAAATAAAAGCTCTCAAACCCATCCTCTTCCTTTTGTTGATGCTGAGTTTAGTTGCACGTGAATCTAAGCCATGACAGTAGCCAGGAGTACCACAGCACTAGTTGCACTGCTAATTACCTGTGGTGTTTCAAATCAATTCTCATCCCTTCCATCAACTATAATCAACAGATTTTAACATCAGATTACAGCCTTGTCAGTCATAGCAAGCACAATTATGCCCTCACACATTGTCCATTTCCTCCCTTTGAGATAACTCAACTGTTCTAGATTTTGAGCCAAAGATGTACCAGAGAACCACCCAACAATAAAACTGTGACATTACACAAAAGTTAAAGTAACAGTAAACTGTTTTGATGGGGCATTGTCCTCAGCTATAATAGGAGGCAACAAATATCAGCACTGCTGTGTGCAATTCATCCCACAAAGGAATATGGGCTTGGATACATGTAAGCTGCACTTCCAGTAACTTTCTACACAGCCAGGGGTGCTGGGTCCTCATTGTGTATTTCCCACCTGCACAGCAAGATTCAGAAGGAAGCAATTAATGCAGTCATTGTCAAAGGGCCTCCAGTGGAAGGAGGATCATGCACTGTATGTGTTTGCTTGTCCTAGAAAGGCTGTTTATGGATCTCTCCCAAAACAAGCTTCAATTCTTGTGTGAACTCCTCTTTAGCAGCAATTTGTGGACCACTGAGGACCCAGCAGTACAGCAAGAAACACATTCTTAAGTGGTCAATTTGTTCAGCCCAATTTTCTCAAATCATGAGATTTGGAAACTCTACTTGCTCTCTCAAGAAACCTCAAGAGCTCAAGTTCCACAGCTGTTTAAAATGTGATCGATAACCACAGGCATTGGACACTGAAAATGTTTAGTCCTTCTAATGTTTGAATTTGAAGCCTCATCCTTTCACTGCTATCTAATAATCTGTGACAAATTGCCTACCTGAGGGGAACCAAGACCATACAGTTTCTTGAATAAGTCACTGTTCACATAGACTTGTTACAAACAATACAGAGGAATAATTTTTAAAATTCAGTTTAATGTTATTTAAATATTGTCTGGGCTAAAGATTAGGCTTTATTAATTTATGTGCACAAGTTTTAGTTCAGAACTCCCAGGATATTGAGTCCAACCAGACACTACAGAGACAGGGCAAAAACTCATTCATAAAAAGCAACTGTATCTTCTGCTACTCAATTATTCCTGTTTTTCACTTCCAATTCAGTTTCAAATTTAAAATAGTTATATGCAGGTTTGCAGGCATTGCTGTTTTAACATCCTGAGCTAATTAACAAAGTTATTCAGAATGTCTGCTGGATATGGTAAAGGAACATATGGATTAATTTAAATGTCACTAAGTTTCAGAAAGCAGCTAGTAATTGAGAGGTAGTGGCAGTAACTCTAGTGCCAGCCAACACAAACTATTCACAGACTGCCCCAGGTTCAAGCACGCAAAACCTCAGAACTTACCAATAAGAGCCAAACCTCCACTTGTTAAACAGCTCTGTTCCACAATAAGTACATGCCCATTTCAGGTTAAGAGAGGAGACTGCAACTACTAAATTGAGGTGGTGGAGCAATGAACAGCATCATGTCAATTAACACAGGATGGAGAATGCTCGCAAGTCACCTGCTATCAGTGTGCAAACTCACCATAAGCACCAAGCAGCATTACATCAACTGCAACCCCAGCCTAGGGGTCCTGTGAAAGGAAGACTTCAGACATTTGCAGAAGCTCTAGCATAGATCTGTTGTACAAGTACTAACTTAAAGCCACATTTTTACTGTAATCAGGCAAGACAGTTTCAGTAACAGCCCTAATGCAGAGACTGCTGGTCCACAGAGCAAACAGCAAAAGCAGCAGTTACATGAAACAGATTAAAATCTAGAGCAAAAAGTGTGCTATTTTAAGCCTGTCTGCCCAACTCTTCAGTAACTCTGTTCTAGCTACAGAACAGATGTGCAATTTATGCTTCACTACCAGTTCTCACATGGAAGTGCAGTAGTAAGGTAAAAACACATAACCTCCCTAGAAGTGAAAGGGCTAGAAAGGATACAGTGTGTCTGTTTTAATCTTCATGTTTGTAGCTTCTGAAAAAGGCTTATCACTCTTTTTCAAAAAAAAATAAATAAAATCAGTGGCTACAGCTTTTGCAGACTAGCACTACCAGGTGTCTTGTTTATACAAAACAGTAGAGTTTGCTGACAACAGATGTTTAAGAGCAAAAAGAATGTGGTGGTGAGGTCTACCTGCATGAGGAAGACTGCCTAACCAAGTGAGTTCAGGATAAATGAGACCACTGACTGCTAATCTATTCCATATCAACAGCAGCAGGCTCCCTCAAAGAAAGCTCCCTCACATGGGACTATGCTTAATCTGGGTAAAGGCATCACAAGGACTAGATAATTTAAAATAAGCATTTCAGCAAACTAAATATTCTCAAGTTACAGAAACATACTCCAAAACATAAAAAGCAGCTATATGAAAAAATGCACTACTGCTCATACAAGTAAGAGGGCAAAGTCTCAGGACTGCACCCACAAACAGTATATATTCACTCATCTTCCTTATAATGTATCCAAACCCCAAGGTTCATGTCAAGAAAAGCTTAGTTTAGTTTCTAGATGCCCAGTCACTAACATTCAGGAATAGAGAGCGACCTCTAACCAGCATTGGCTGCTGTTCCTAGAAGAGGCTGGTATAGTTAATGCAAACTTTATTTACAAAAGACACTTAAATTAGTTACTTCATGCCATGTGTCCATACAGAATCAACAGTTCAAGGATTACATGGAGGAAAAAAATCACAAAATTAAAAGTGAAATCACTGAAGATTATCTAAGAGTTAAGAACTAGGAAAATATCTTAAAGACAATTTTACAAATAAAAAACCAAGTTATGAGAAACTATTCTGAACAAGATGGTTGTTTACAGGTCTGTACACTAAAACTAATACACAGACAGCCTTCTATTGTCAAAGAAATGCTCACTGAGAAGCAGAGTATGTACAAATACTTGTGCCACAATGACTCAAACCCCCCAAAATCCACTGTATTATACATAAACCAGTTTGTATACATTAGGCCTAAACGAGGCCATTTAACTATGAAGACTTCTAGTTTAGTAAACTAAAGCTGAAGACAGCCCAAGCAACAGCAACACCGTCTCTTCTGCACCTCTATTTGCGACTGCTTTTTATTCTCTCCAATCGTTTTTTCAAGTCATCAATATTGGCTGCTGCAGAAGAGGGTGGAGCCAAGGTAGTTCCAATGCCAGAGGAATGAGTCTGATTGGAGTCCAGGTCCAGATGCTGGTACTGCTCCCGGGACTCACGGAGTTGGGAGAGCTTACTGTGAAGCATATCTGTAGAGGATGCAACTGTAGGGAGTGTTGGTTTAGATAGCAGAGATGTCAGAGGGGGTCTGTCTTCCTGCTACAAGGGAGGAAAGTGAAGAGTTAAGGCATTTAGTGCCAGAAGTCACATAAGTAAGTACAAATCATAATCAACAGCTTTTCACCCTTACAGGAAACAGTAAAAACGAGGGAAAGGGAAGGCACACTACAACACAAGTGGACCTGGAGCAAAAAGTCAGTTGCTGTCAAAGTCAGAACTATGCAAAGCCAACTACAATACTCAATTCTTATTGTTTGAGCAGTTAATGCCAGCAGGGACACAAAGGAACCACAGGCTTTAAAGATCAAAAATTCCTTGCAGACTAGTGTTTTACTGAGATAGACTGCCATAGTCTTTAACAGCATGAATTCTAACAACACAAGAGCAAAGTCCATGCCTATGTGCAGCATCAACAGGCAATGAATTTTCTGGGTGAATGAGAAGAGGAAACCTGAACTGATTGGCAAGATCGACCCTGCCAAAGACTGTTCTTTTACCAACTGATATTTCCATCTGAGTTGCTTACCTTGTTACTACCATCTATGAAATACTTACTCTCAGAGCTGTGAGCTGGTATGTAAGTTTGTGTTAAAGGTTAAAAAAGAGTGATGAACCTGGATGACTATTCCTAGAGTGAACATCACTTCTCATGTGGCTGAGTGCAAATTTTAGTAATCAGCACTAGATTGCTAAGATATAGATCACTGAACTGTAAGACATTTTGGCTCACAGGTTTCCAATACTAAGGTCATTCAGCATTTCTGTGCCTTAGATCCATACAACCAAAATATATAAAACTCTGAAGTCTTAATTCAGCTCTTAAGGTTGTTTCAAAGCAGAAAGATTTAGAATTTACACATCATTCAACTCAGAGGTCAATATATGTTAACTTTTAGAGTACAAATAACAGCAGTTAGTTGAACCTTTCTGAGATTCTACTCCCTGGCAAGGCAAGATACGGAACTACAGGGCTGCAGAAACAACCTGCACATACACTAGTGCTGCAGACAGAGTGGATTTGAAACATAAGCCTATTTGGCCAAGTTTAAAGCCATTTATACTAGACATGGTGACATGCAGTAAGTAGCTAGGACATACAGTATAATGCAAGATTATAAACTCTCATGGGAATCTGCCTCTGGCACAGGAAAAACAACCATTGGAATACTTAAAAAAAAAACCCAAATTGAAAATCAAGTGCCTCCCCAGGGGATTTACAAGTGTTGTCAAGTACAATACCTTCGCATTGTCAAGGCCACAACGCTGCCTGAGGATTTTTAATCTTTCCAAGTAAACTGAAGGCCCCACTTCCTCCCCATTTGTGTTTCCTATAGATGAAGATACTGTGTGGGTAGACACAGGAGCACATGTTCCTTCCATCTGAGGAGACATTCCTGGAGAATGACAGGAAGGAAGGAAGAAGTGTTTTAAATAAAAAGCACAAGCCTCTTGGTCAGGTCCTTGAAGTAAGATGCAATGCATGTAGAGTTAACCAACCTATAAACTACTAAGTATTTGCAGTTGCTGGTGTAAACGTATTAATCCTTTCATTTCCTTGCAAGAGTGACAAGTGGAAACCAAGAAAAGAAACTGAGAAATTTAAGAAGTGGCTGCAGAGCAGCACCAGAAGTAGTGACGAGGCTGACAGGTGAAGACAACAGTGGGGGAGAAAAAGATGCTGATGTGGATCAGCAGTAACCACAATGTCCAACAGAGAGAACTCAGCAACTGGCAGGAGGGAAATATTAGGAGTCTTCTGTCTTTTTCTAGTTCAGTAGTACTTTTGGGCTTACCACTAATTCTAACCCCTCTTTAACCTCTCCTTTGTGTAACTTAGTTTCTTCTTTGAATTAGATCTCAAATAGTGATTTCTGGAAGGCAGGTAGTAAGGTTTTTAAAGCTTCCCTACCCCAAGACTAGAAAATGAAAAAAAACTTTTCCACTCTGAAATGAATTGCAAATTCCAAGACTTAGCATGGACATTTGTTTTCACTAATCTACTGCAAGGGTATTTAAAATAAATAAAAAGAGAATTAGGGCTAAGGATTTACACCTTTAAATAAAGCACTGTTGCAATATTAACCAATATCCTTTATTATATCAAACTTAAGTGTTAGGGAGGGGAAAAAAAAAGTTGTGGAATGCAAATTTTGTTTTGAAAAGTGATTAACTGATATTTCTTGGCTGTATGGACTTCCAGGATGAAAGGCAGAATCTTCTGTCCTACCTAGTCACACATTTAGGAGGTTCCAAAAATGTCATATCATCATCCTAAAGTAATTTACAATACAGGGATAGGATAAAGAACAGTAGTAGGAAAAAAGTCTGTAGTAACACAGGACACTATGAAATGTGAAAGAAATGAAAGTTACAGGTAGTTTTGCTACACTGTGTCAGTTTTTGTCATCTGTTGATAATTTGTCACATTCCCTCCTTAGTATTGCATTAATCTGCAATGAAGACTAAGTGTTTTACAGTAATTTATCAAATTAAAAAGCTAATTTATTGGAAAAGGGTCATCACAAATTCTGCTACAGAAACAGTTCCAAGTTATTTAAAATAAGGTTTTCAATTCCATAGTAGATAATACTCTATCCAAAAGCCCCCCACACCATTTTAGTAACCAAAAGGGAAAATGAGAACCTGACAGCTGCTGCTGTTATAAACCAGCTGTATACCTTGCAGAACCAATTCCTGATACCAGACTCATGAAGCAATGTTCAGCCTGCACTACAGAACACGAATTAGAATCATTGTTTATGAAGTCTTTCAGATGTTTTCTACATTTAGTGTGACAATGGTTATAACATGGGTTTTTCTGTAAGCAAAGAATGCACAGTCCCTGCAAATGGTGCCTCATAAGCAGTACAAGCACAGAGAAAATAGTGATTTGCTTTGGAAATCCATAAATGTCTGCAAATATTAGTTTCTACCAGGAGACATGTAACTGTTCTCCCATGTCTGCTTTTCATAAATGGATCGGTTTTCCTGTAACATGTACCTGTAGAAGTAGCAATGCGCCCTTTCCCCTCCTGTTCTGTCTCTATCAGTCGGAGGCCTCTTTCCACATAGCTCTGGAAGAACTGAGAGGAGTTTTTCAGGAAGGGCTCAATGTCTGCATCAGAGTATTTCTTTTTGTATTCATAGAGCTCTGCCAGACCCTGGGAGGGAAGAGTATCTATGTATTACTACAACTGCTGCATACACCATTCTAATGTATCATGCCCTCTTCCTTGCAGGAAGGGAGCACTCACCTCCTTGGTGTTCTCCTTTGAGCCAATCTTCTTAAATATTTCTGCCAAAATATCATTAACTTTGGCTTTTGAAGCCTTTTCCTCCTAAAATAAACAAAAAGAGACTTTTAAAACAAAGTCAGTATAAACAAAGGAAGTCCTACAAACCCACAACACCCTCAGACCTGCTCGCTGGATACAGAGCTTCCAAGATGAAGAAAACCTTGAAGTGATCAGGGTTCTACACAACCACTGTTTGCACAGAATGAGAGCAAGGACAGCATGAAGCTGTAGAACTCCATCTGAGGAGTCAGTGTTTAAAACCTGTTTTGGGTATGGTTAACTTTTAGTAGATGAAACGCAGTATCAGACAGCATAAAACGTATGCTGCACGCTTCGATGTCCTGAAGACCACTCCATCCTGGGATATACACAGAATGTTCAGGTAAGCAGACAGTAAGGTCCCAAAACAGTCATAAATAAAAGTGAAATTAGGAGAATATTTCCAACAGTAGTTATATCTTGGAAAGGCAATTACTACTTCGTATTCCACAATCACAAAATTAAGCTTGTTTCTGAAATTAATTGCCTTACATTCCTCTTTCCTAACACCACCTTTACTTTACTTACTGTGCGAGAAGCTCCTTTTTCTGTATCCTTATCAGCTTTTCCAGTCTGGTCCATGGAGTGTTTCATTACTCTACAAAGGTGAGCTTCTAGCTCAGACTCATTTTTGTTGTCTATCATGGTTAAATGATCTAAGATCTAAAATGATAAAAAGGGGAATAAATAAAGAAATAGGAGGAAAAAACTTCAGACACTGCACGAACATCCAATTTAAAAATACATAACTAGTGACCACTCTGACCTTGGGCCCTTTCAGCTTGCACAGAGTGTGAAGCAGAGTCTTCAGTGTCCTTATAGGGAACTCACTCTTACATCGCTTCAGCTTCTCTTTGGGAAAGACCTTCATGAAAATGTGGATATCCAGCAGAATCCGATCCAAGTTGATGCTATTAATGGTTTCTGGAAGAAGACGCACCATTCTCCACAGACACTAGAATGAGAGTTAGAGCAAGCTGACTTAGAGCAAGATAACTCAAGGAAAAAGCATTTGATTATATAAGGAGAGATTACATTATCACTGAGCCATTTCACTCTGCTCCCACACAGTCACACACAGTGTCTGCCTGCTCAAGCTATATTTGTACTGGTACATACCTACCCTCTGTAACTAGCTGTACGGTACTCTGATCTTTCTTTAGAGCTGATGCATAAATGCAGGGCTAAATTCTCTACCTATAACACAGGACTGAATGCTTTGTGTGAAGAAATTTCAACCAATAATAAATATATGCTATGTACACCCACACACGGCATGAGTTCTTTAGGTAAAATGACCTGAGTAGGCTTTAAATCATGCCAGTTACAAACAGGTGTTATATATGATAAAGATCACACCGATGCTTTAAATACAGACACATGTTCACTCTGCCCATCATTAGAGGTGACAAGTCAGCTCCAGCCTGGGACTGTTTGAATCCACAGTATGGTGCTGTGCCCAAGCAAATGAGCCCAGCAGGTAACTACACTTCCGTACGGAGTTGGTATTAGTGTACACAAGTTTCTGTAAACTACTGGCAGGTGTTAAGGTCCCTTCTGGCATACCAGAAGTCACTATGTGACATCTTATAAGATTATGAAGAGTTATAAGTAATATTTCAAGTCATGGCTGCTAACATTTTTAAAAACTATATCTGTTCTATCAGCTTACTCAGATAAACCAAGTAAGTCAAAAAACTGTGCTACAGGCTCACCTTCATGACAAGTTCTGAAAATTTAGGAGAGCTGGCTGTTGCTAGCAGACTATCTTGGAGCAAAACAAGGAGAGCACTAGAAGGAATAAATTTATAATGATTACACAGAAGAAGTGCTATACACAAGAAAAAAAAGAAGTCAACTTGTCAGAGAATACCAAACCAGAGACTGGGGTTAGTTATGTCATAGAATCATAGAATCTACTGGGTTGGAAAAGACCTCAAAGATTGAGTCCAACCCTCACATGGTGTAACAGATCTCTCCTTTTCTTCTAGTAAGTTACAATAATTAAAGGGCAGTCTGCTGAGCTACAAAGCATATGAATCATATTAAGCTGGTTTGTTTAGCTAGTATTATTAGCTAATTATTATCTTTATTAGTTTACTGAATGATTCTACAGACATTAGTCTCTGCTTACAGAAAGACTAAAACTCAGTCATTCAAGGAACACCCAAGAACAGGTGAAGAAAAGCAGTAATTGTGCAGTATTCATTATATACCTCAAGATGTTGGTCTGGTCAGATTTCTCCAGAACTTTCACTACCAAAAGGTTGACTGATCGGATGACTTGTTCACCCTCCTCAAGGTCTTCAACCCGAGAATCCAGCATTAATGTAATAAGACCATGCATCAGGTCTTTAAGCACACCAGTGGAGGCTTCTCGAGCCAGACTCTCTATCTGAAATAGCTACAGATGGAAGACAGTATTAGTTTTCCCTGCAAATGATCCTTTAAAATAGGGACTTCTCTAGACTACACTGTCAAACCACGACATTTCCCTGTTTCCCACAACATTAATAGTCAAAATTTTGATGAGGAATAACAAAACCAGAGCTTAATAGAATCATTAGAGTGGCTATGTTCTGCAGAAGAGACCTTCTTCCCTTCCCCAATTTTTCATTCCCCACACTCACTCAAAAGGTCCATTGGTGAGCAGTTAACAACAAACCTTCATAAAAAAAGACTCAGTCATCAGCTAACCTAGGTATGGGACAGACCATCCTCCTGCAACTTCTTCACACTACCTTTTATCTCAAAGCCTTACCGTGATCATGCTCCCAATAATGCAGCTGTACAGTCTGACTATCTCATCTTTGTCCAGCTTCTCATCCGCCATGTGCGTATTGTAGATCAGCCGAAGCTGCATAAATGTAGCTATTAGGAACTGGTCAATGTGGCCAGACATAGCTTCAGCTTTGTCTTCCTGTTTGAGTACCTCGTCAATCTAAGATTTCAAAACAGAATGCTCGAGTGAAGTCAACATAATGCAAACAGTGCAAAGTAACTTAAAAACTTCTCTGTAGGAAGGGTCTTGCCATGAGCAATCCATTTGCCAAGGCACTTGAATTCTAAGCTTTCACCTGTAATCAGTAGCCATAGAGCTGTACTGCTAATCCCAGTACAACCAAGAATTGATCTTTTAGAGAACTGCAATCCTATACTGTACACATATGGAACCATGAACTGCTGCATTACAGATTCTGAATTAAGTTTTATGAAATCTTCAGAATGAAAAACTTTAAATAGTTAAAGCAGTCCTAAAGCCATGCAAAAAGTAAGAGGCAAGACAATTCTTTTGCTGAGGATCTATAAAACTATTTACATAAAAAAGTTAAGTCTCACTGACTAACTGGCTTTTTCAAACTCATAGCACAAATAACTTGACAAAAGCAAAAAGATAACACAGAACACATTTTTTTCATTAGTGCTTAAGTCTATTCTGCACTTTCCAAATGGAATTTTTATTGCTAAAGCGAGTCAGATGGCCCCTGTGCACTTAGTTTTGTCATCAGGGAGATTCTGGGCAGAGTCCACATCACCTGACATGGATTGCTCTACCACAGTGCAACTCATCACCCTCGCAGACAATGGTTTAGTACAGCGTGATTAGTTGCTACCTTAATTCACTTACCTGTGTCAGAGCCTGGATGCTTGTATTTATATCACCACTGGCTACTTGGGAAATGACAAAGTTGATAGTAGAAGCTGTGTTACTGTGCATGTCATCAAAGTGCGGGGACACAGCACGGATTCTGAACAGTTGAAAACAGGACTCATTACTTTTTGCAGAGATGCTCTAAATTACACTGAACTATTTTAATGATGATTTATAGACAAGGGAAAAGGATTTCATTCTTCACTAAGAATACTCAAGGAAGGAATCATTCCTTTTAACATGTCTATTGTACTACTTGTACTGACACTGATGATGCATTTACAAACACACAGAATTCAGGTTTTTCACTAGAACTAACTGCTCTCCATATTTTAGACCAGTACAACAGACCTGTGTTTTGACATCACTTCAAATTAGCTGATACTACCTTCTTATGTAAAGAAGTCTGAATGTAGAAACTAGCATGGTCAATTCTGCTTCTCCAAAGTGTTTTTAAGCAGCCCTGCTGGTTTCACTTAGGACTTAAAACTAAACTCACTTGCGCTCAGGAATTGAGACCGGCTCAAAGATGTCATCTAGCTTGTGCTGTACAAGTGCTGGCATCTCACATCTGACAGTTCCATTGTCATTTTCAATTTCATCAAGATCCAGCTGGAATTCCCGTGGAACTGCATGTGTTGTCTCAGAGTGATTGCCCATGTTGCGATTTTGGCTACAGAAACCAGGAGAGAGGTATTTACTATACACACAAGAGGCAAGAGTACTAGCACTGGTAGCCCTAAAGCTCTACACTAGAATAGCACGTATTTTGAAGCACTGATTATATTCAAGCCCTCTCATAACTCCCTTTGTCTTTCCCCTAGCATTTGTAGGCCAGAACAGTTGCTAGTACTTGCTTTCCTAGTTTCTCTTGTAACTCACCATAAGACCCCCCTGCACGTGTGATAGGTATGCACTGGTTCATTTTGAGATATCTAGCACAATATAAAGTAGTATTAATGAAATGTAAGGTTAGAGTCTGTTTTTTTGGCTTTTGCTTTTAAAAATGAACAGAATGCATATGTACACAGCCACAGCTCAAGCTTCTCTGAACCTAAGATTTCTGGCATCCAACGTGACTTGTGCTGTAAATTAGATTTTTCAAGGAAATGTTCTAACACATAGTTATCAAAACAAGCTTTCATTCCAAAATAAAAGAGCAGGTGGCAAGGAATACAGTTTCTGAGCTTATTGTTTCTGGTACTATTGCCCCAGGCCCTATGATTCACACACATTTACCCTGCTCTGTGCTTTATGTCTAGCATAAGTTAAGAACAGGGTCCAACCAATATCACGTTCAATGTAGCTCACTGGAAGTTCCCCCAGTATTTTGAACAGCTGGTTAATGTGAAGTGCCACGTCTGCCTGCAGCTTGATCTATAAGTGAGCTTGGCAGAAACCTGTATTTTTTGTTTGCTTTCTTGTCTTTTAAGTCAGAGACTTGTAAATAACCTAGAACCTGTCAAACCCTCAGGAAGGGATGACTAGGATAGAAAGATACAAGAGCCTTGCTACCAAGGAGTTAGTGGGCAGTACTTACATCCTATAAGTGCGATACATAATTCTGTCCATGGAGAAGCAGTGAAAAAAGGCACAAGACCATTTAGAGAGATTTCAAGACAGACAAGACAAAAAAGTTTCAGACATTTTGATTTATATTATTTGGCTGATTTTTACAACATGCAAAGATGATGATACAAGAACTAAAGTGACATTGCCAGACATAATACTAGCACATACACTATGCAGGCTAGAAACCATAAGGAATCATTACATACTTGAGTTTGGAGGACATGTCCTCAGCTGGTCCCTTCCGCATCATGCTAGCATTAGTGCTGATGTTTTGAGCCCGCTGAGGTTTGTCCTCTGCCTGTCTCACTGGAGCAGCAGACGGTCTTTTGGCTGATCGTTTTATTCTTTCCTCCAGCATGCTCATGTCTTTCTCAGAAAGCTGTAACACACAATACTTTCACTCAACTTGGGTTTACAGAACCACGTAATATTAAGGGGTTGGAATGGACCTTAAACATCTAGCCCCAACCCAAACTGCTATGGACAGGGACACCTCCCACTAAACCAGGTTGCTCAGGGCCTTATCCAATCTGGCTTTGAACACTGACAGAGTTGAGGCATCCACAGCCTCCCTGAGCAACCTGTTTGTGTCTCACCACTCTCACGGTAAAAATTTTCTTCCAAATGTCTAATCTAAATTTGCCCTCTTTCAGTTTGTACCCATTGCCTCTTGTCCTGTTGCTATAGTTCTCTCTCTCCCTTCAGATACTGGAAGGTTGCTATGAGATGGGCATCAGCCCACCTCTCAGGCCTGTCAAGGTCTCCCTGGATGGTATCCCTTCCCCTCCAGCATGTTGACTGCACAACACAACTTGGTGTCATCAGCAAACTTGCTGAGGGTGCCCTTGATCCCACTGTCCATGTGGCCAACAAAGATGAACAGTATCAGCCACAGTATTGACCCCTGAGGGATACCACTCATCACTGGTCTCCACAGGGACAATGAGCTGTTGACTACAACTGTGTGTGACCATCCAGCCAGTTCTTTATCAGTTGTACAGATCTTAGAAATCTTGGTCACCGACAGGATGTGCTTACTACAGCAGACTGAAGTTATCTAATTCTAAGGTAGGAAATGCTACCACCTAGCAGCAAACTAACAGGGCCACTACAGACTGCCAGATGCTACTTTAAGATCTAATTAATGAATACTGACAATCTGTTACACCAAATACAGCTATTTCTGGCAGACATAATTCCCAAGAAAAACATCATCTTATATCCAAACTATAGTATTACCATATGTTTCTAATTGTTGCATGTGTTGCTGTAAAAAATCCAAACAAAAAAATCACTGCATGTCTCTCTATCTTCCCTATTAAGAAAACAGGCAGTGCTTCCACACTCTAGACCATGCCACAGAAGCCTTCTGACAGTTGTCCTGTTCAACATACTCATAATTCAATCTGAACACAAGATTAGCCAACTTAACGCTCCAGCTCAGGCAGTGAAAAGACTAATTTTACTTGCTTACCGACAGAACTGAAGATTCCAACAGTGCTAACCCCCTGTAAAAGTGTCAGGATTTGGGAAAAAACCCGAACAACCCCAGACACACAATCCAACAGAACAAACAAAACCTCCCCAAACCAAACCAACAAAACACAAAGACCAAAAGCCCTCTAATCTTATTTCCAGTTATACTCACATTTCCAATCAGCTTGAACACTTGGTCACCGTGGACATTATAGACAGTCACGATGGTGTTCAGCGCAGCATTGCGCACAGTGTTGTCCCTGTCACCAATATGAGTTGCCATTTCCTTTAAGGCTTTCCCTGGAGTTGGCTGGCATACATTCATGCCATATGATTCAACCAGACATCCAAGCTCTTCCAAGCATTCTAAATGAAGAACATACACATTCAAGTTTAGAACTGCTGGGAAGAGAGCCCTTCCAATTTCAGTGTTGCTTGCACAATATGAACATTCACTGTCAAGAACTGTTGTTCATGAAGTTGATGATAAATACACTCCAGGTGATTTACAAGATGAATAGTAAACCACAGGGTTAGAATAATTCACACAGATAGTATCGCAAAACTGCCATAAAACATCCCTATGCCCTTCCAATATTTACCATTACCCTATGTGAGCAGTGTTACAGATAGCTTCACACCTAGGTAGTTTTGACAGTTGTGAGCTTGCAGTGCTATATTACGTATAGAATTTACCTTTCTGGTTATACCAGGGCAAGATATTTTCAAGGTGACTAGGGAGTTGTTTGAACACCATAACTATTACAGATATTACTTAAGGTGAGACAGATGGCACAGTGTAGACACATTCTTCCATCAGATTAACTGATTCCCTTAGGGACTATGACAGTATTGTCACTGTTCTCCCCAGCACAGTTTCAGTAAAGAAAACAAGTCTACTCAAGGGAGACTCAATCTTAATACTGATAGCAGCTTAAGAGATTGCTCATCTTTGGAATGTACGAAGACAAAAAATAAAAAATAGCATGATACTACTTTAAATTCTGATCCTTTAAACACTTACAAACATTTGCATAAAATGCCACACAGAGGTGAATCTCACATCCCACCCATTGGGTTCTTATGCTGGGTTTTTCAAGATGCAAACCAAAGCAATTTCAAGTACTTTCGTGTGCCCAGTTCAACATGCCATTTCCCACCTGAACGTTGTTTCGAGTTTTTGGATTTCGTCCCCTCCATGATAAAAGGGAACATCTTGCTGGCCGGATAGATGAGACACATCCTGTTCAGGATGGCACGTACATCCTTGCGGATGACATCTTTCGGTTCTCCTACCTAATGGAAAAGTCAAAGAAGAAAGAGGGGAACAAATACAGACTATTTTAACCAGCCTCATTATACTGTTGATTATTCTAAATTACGTTAGGGAAGTCAGAGTTATTCTCAAAGCAAAACTCCTTTTTGGTAAATGGCTTTTAAAGGAAAATGCAATATAGAATCATTAAGGTCAGAAAAGACCCTTTAAGATCATCAAGTCAAAGCATTTAACCTACACTGCCAAGTTAACCACTAAACCATATCCCCGAGTACTACATCTACACATCTTTTAAATACCTCTAGTGATGGAGGCTCAACCACTTCCCTGGGCAGCCTGTTACAATGCTTGACAACCTGGCTGGTGAAGAAATTTCTTCTAATATCCAACATAAGCCTCCTCCTGTGACACCTGAGGCTGTTTCCTCTCATTCACTTGTTACTCAGCAAGAAAGAGACTAACACCCACCTCACTACAACCTCCTTTTAGGCAGTTATAAAGAGCATGAAAATCTCCTGAGACTCTTCTTCGCCAGGCAAAAAACTTGGCCTGTTGAATCTCATATACTGGCCTCAGCCCATTGATCTAGCCTTGTCCCCTACAGAAGGTCAAGCTCCTGCCTCATCACTGATGAGGATATTAAACACGCATGACTGGCCACCAACTGGACTAAGCTCCATTCACAGTACATTTAGAATGAACATATTGCAGTGTTTGATGGTATCCTCCTATATTCCTCATGAATATAAGGTTTATTTCTGTACAAATCATACCTTTAGGATAAGATATGGGATGAAAGAGGATGCTTCATTTTCAGTTAGGTGATACTCCTCTTGACTAAGCAAATTGAAAAGCAGTTTAAGGTATTCCAATGCTTTCATCAAAACACTTGTGTTGGTATCAAAGAACCGCAGGGTAAGCCATTTTAAGATCAAATCCAGGCAGCTGATGACTCCATCTTTTTCACTCTCCAAGTGCTTGAAGAAGAAAAAAACCAAAAAGGAGACTATGCAAAATGAAACACATAGACTGTTCAAGAAAAGAACAGAAGCAGTTAAGCTATGTCTGATATGATAGTCTACATTTATTGGTTGATTCTTAGAACCATAAGTACTCAATTTTAACTTCTACAGCTGATATTCTAAGAGAAGTCTCTGGTGAGGAAATTTTCCCTTCTCCCAATAAACAGTATTAATATCAACTTCATCATACATCTGAAAATTATTTCTATGTATGTATAACAATGGATCCTGGCTCCTCAGAGAATTCCCATTTGATTTTAATTCAAGCAGAATCTCTCTCACAGCAGTGAATAATCCTATACAACAACATCTACTAACCACAGATCCAAACTCACCTCTATCATGACAGCCAGTGCTTTGTTGTGGTGCTGAAAATCAGCATGAAACATCTCGTCCTGTAGCCATTTGGCCACACAAGTGGACATCTGTGTTTTTAGCTGTTCAATATATTCATCACGGGGAGTAGTGAAATTCCATTTTAACACCTGTAAAAGGCAGCATTTAGAACTCAAAGCAAGCAATGCCTTTTCTTCCTGAAAAACTCTGCTAATTGCATGTCTCTGTTCTGCTTTAGAATTTGTTTTCAAAATCTTATTATCAAAAAGTAATAGGACAAAAATCGGTGGTGGCTGCTCACCTTGGCTTACACGAAAAATCTTCTGCATGTGGACTTGTCATCTTTAGGTCATTATCTTAATAATTACCACTTAAAGTGGTTGGTTTTTAAGCTACAGAAATGCCTATCCACTAGCAAGTTACAGATAATGTGCATGTTTAAAGTAATAGAATTTC